GGGCTTGCAAACGCTTTATGGTCCATCTAGTAGTATATCTTGAAGGAAACACACCAGGGATCGGTTTCATCTTTCCAGATATGAAACCCGGTGAACTATAAGGCACGCCGTGAATTCCACATATAGGCGTCAAAAATTTTCCTATTGAGCTGGCTATCAACCATGATGGATTGGAGATGGTCACACTCAGATAGAGTCCTGCAGTCAGTCAGTCAGTCACGATCGTCTATATATATTAGATGCAAGGAGCAGTAGTGTATTATGAACGTATAATGTCACTCTCATTGATATTTTCTTATAGAAGCTATGTTTAGCAAGGCTCTGAGTCCCAGAACCTTGTCAATTAAATTTCATTTTTTAAATGAGTCAAAGTCCATGTAATACACAAGGACTTTATCTGACTGCAGGACTCTATCTGAGTGTGACCATCTCCAATCCATCATGGTTGATAGCCAGCTCAATAGGAAAATTTTTGACGCCTATATGTGGAATTCACGGCGTGCCTTATAGTTCACCGGGTTTCATATCTGGAAAGATGAAACCGATCCCTGGTGTGTTTCCTTCAAGATATACTACTAGATGGACCATAAAGCGTTTGCAAGCCCCACCTCCAGGCGGCCAAAATTTTCCTACGTTGCGTTTAAATACGAATACCATGCATATTCTTGTCTATGCCTGTTTCAGAATTACTCCATGACCTTTTTATGTGATAGGAAAAAGTGAGTATGTTTGGAATTCATGATCTTTGACAGGCCAGCATTTTTTAATTTTTAGAAGAGTATGTGAGTTTTTTTTTATTCCTCACGGCTTCCCAATAACAAGGTGACAAAGGACGTAACATATATTATAGGTTCCTCTCAGGTACGACCTATTAGATATAAACTCTAGACGTCTTGAACTCCCCTGCTTTATCCCATAAGCATTTTCTGGAAGTGCTTTTCTAACCCTTAAAACTTGGCTATGGCTGCTTCAAAATTACTCTATGAACTTTTCTTAATGTGATAGGAGAATAGTGGGTATATGATCTTTGACAGGAATGCTTTGACTAATTTTTAGAAGTCTGTGAACTTTCTTTCATTCCTCATAGCTTTCTACTAACAGGGTGACAAAGAACTGAACATATTAAATGACTATATCTCATTGCTTCCTATCAGGAATGACCAATGCTGAAGTTTTGCATCAAGTGGAACATGGATACAGAATGACTGCTTCATCTGGATGCCCTCCTACACTGTATGAAATCATGCTAGAATGCTGGCACAAGGATCCTCTCTGCAGGCCTACTTTTGAAACGCTGCAATGGAAACTGGAAGAATTCTTCAATTTTGAAGGATCTGAATATAAAGAGGCCTAGCAAGAATATTGAGCACATCGTTCTTCCTGAAAGTGATGACTTTTGATTCCTACATTTTGTTTCACAATACTCGGTGTCTATGTACAGACCGGATTTCAATGCATTTGAAGGAAGCGATGCCAAATCACAGATCAGAACTGGTCTTCTGGGAGGGCTGTATTGTGAAGGGAGACCTTTTTTACTGGAATGTTATAGCACTTGAGGTTCATGTGTTTCATTCAAGTGGAACCTTCTCCTTTAAAGGCTTCCATATTTAGTATCTGCTTGTGACTTGTGAAAGAAGTTCTAACAATTATCTTTGTGAGTAAAGCCATTTTAAATATTGCTGCTTCAATTGCTTATACATGAAAAATTCTGATCCTCGCAGTACAACAGAGTCAATGAAACTACATCAGTAAGGCATGTTGCATCAGTCGATGCATCCTTATCATGGGTCCTTAAGACATGGAATGGTTTGACTGCCCTCATCCAGCTGAGAACCAGACACATGCTTTTCTTATAACCATTAACTCTTTCAAGAAAGGAAGAAAGCCTGGGATGCATGGAAGAGGTTCTTGTGTGGCCCCTTGAAGCGCAGTTTGATGAGTCATCCATCCTGCTTCCATAAGCATTTTCTCGTTAGAAACTGATTATACTTTCTGAACACTTGGCAGCAGGGACAAGTTCACCTCCTGGAGGAGAAATACTCCATGCAATTAGTGCTTGCAAGCTGGAAGTTGGAGAGGTTCTGTATAGGGGATTCCATGGAACAAAAAATGCAAATAGTTTATATAAATTTTTATTCATTTTGATCCATTAGCAACAAAAATTTTTCCCTTTCATCCTCTGAAAACTTACAAATACACTGAGGCACCATCACGACCTCGGGCTTTGGCTTTATTTGAAGGCTCAACAAGCAGAGGCTCCAATATGAAAATAGTTTCCATGGTCAAAGGTTGAACTTAAATTTAGAAGTATTGGAACAGCGGTTTAAGGTTAGTGCAGAATGCTCTGTACACAACCTCTCCATTGAGCCCAACATCATATTTCTAGCATAAGTAGCTACGATGATAAATATATTTTTTTATTCCTTTCCTAAAAATGGCTCCACTTGACAAGTAATAGCTCTTTATCATTTCAAGTATAGAAAATTGGAAGCTATAACGGACTGGGAAAGTGTAAAAAATAAGAATATAGTTCTATTTGCAGAACTGCAAGAAACTGGAAAAATGAAATAATTGTTCTGCAAGCAATCAAATTGCTAATCATGAACAAAAGGATTTCTGAAGGCAGTTCCACGATAAGTTTCCTGGAAAAGGGAACCACTGCGTATTAGGATTATTTGGATAAAGGGAAAGGTCAAAATCTCTTTCCTAACTTGCCTCCACTTGATGATGGATGGAATGCCTTCCTTTCAAGACTCACATCTGCTCTGAACTCGCTTTGATATCTGCAAAAGCTTAATTTAGCCACATTTTAAATAAAACCTCCAGATTTAAGTTCCTTACACTTGACATTTTTAAGACTCTCCTCCAAGTATAAGTTAAGGTATGTTGAGCAGGCAGTCAGAGACCACTGTGCTTCCTTCCACTACAAGTGCTGAGGGTGCAGGGGGGATTGACTGCTACCAGATCTGTCCCCCTTGTAAGATTTGGGTTTCCACTCAACTTGACAAGGTTGTCATCTGGTCTTACTTGATACGAGACTAGGCCTTTATTCTCCTTGGATGTGAGTGTCTTGTGCAGAGGTTCTGAGGTACCAGAACTTCATGGCCATCGGCATTCCAGGTGCATGGCTTATCCACACCCCTACATCCACACCTACATCCACACCTACATCCCCTGCTTTGATGTAGGACCTGGGGAGAGATCCCAGGTCTGAACACTCCAGGTTGTCAGTAGGCCTAGTAGAAAATGTGGTTCTTTTTCTATTAGGCCTACTTACTTACGAGACGTTAGACAGCAATTGTGAGAGCATTAAGTTAGTGTTAGTATTTAAATTGAAATGCATGTTATTGTCATATGTGAAATAGGAAGGCTCTACTCCCAAATGGGCATGAGGTGAGACACTCCAATTGGACCAGAACAAAGAGAACATCACTGAGAGGACACGACTCGCACATCACTCTGCTTTGGAGAACAAATGCCCCCAAGATTTGTCCTCCCACACTTCAGGAACCCAGGAATGTTCAGGACCAACCAATGAGAAGATCTACAGGGTGGCACAAAATACGTGCGATTTCGAAAAATCAAATCCTTTTTTCAAAATAAACATTCTTATAAATAATTGCTTAAATAATCACATATACAACCCACATCATCAAAATAGACATCATTTTTGCTCAAAATGACCACCTCCCTCATCGATGCAGAGCTTGAGTCGCTTCGGGAAGTTGTCCACCAAAAAAATTGATATTTCAAAATCGTACGTATTTTTGGGCTACCCTGTAAGTATGAAGAACACAAGGATGAGCCCAGTGATGAAATAGGACAGTGGTAAAGGTTACTGGGGAGAGAGCCAAGTGGGCCAGACAAGGAGGTTTCCAATTCTCCCTCCTTTTCCCTACAATACCTCTGCTCTCGAAACACAAGAGGAAATAAATGCAGAAATTCAAGAAGTGCCTGACAAGTCTCACCAACTGACGACTTCCTGAGGGCATAGGTCACGAGCACAACTTATTGAGGAAAAAAAGTCAGACTGGATGACAAAGGATTACCACAAATTTACTGATGGATTTTAATATTCATAATTTCATCCATAATCCAGCGCAGCCCATGGTGGACACCAGCGGTGTGCGAGGCTCTTACTACCAAGTAGGTAGCCTACTGGGCGTGCATGTCCAGTAGGTCTGATTCTTCTAGGGCGTACTATACTGAGGCACGACGAACTGTGCTCGTGTTGTGGCCAAAGCGAAACAGAAGGCGTAGAAGAAATTCGGTGATCAAATGGAATCAGACTACCGCATTGCCATCAGGGTGTTCTGGCAAACCATCCGAAGGTTACGGCAAGGCAGGCAACATACGCTCCAGGTCATCTACGACAGAAACGGGGAGGTGTTGGCTGCCGAGGCGGATATATTAATATTTAGTAGGTGGAAAGAAACCCTTCGAAGAGCTCTTAAACCCATCAACAGTGGACACTGACCTACTCGACCTGGAGCCTCTCAGCGCGGAAACTAGCCTCACCATGGAGGAGGTTCTGTAGGACATTGCTAGCCTGAAGAATGAGAAATCTCCTGGTGTGGATGAAATCCAGGCAGAGACTCTGAAAGCAATGTGTACAGATGGGTGCTCATGGCTTTATAGGGCGTGTCAGACTGCTTGGGAATCGGGAACGGTACCTAGGGATAAACTGCGTGGGAGTCGATTGACTCCCACGCCGTTTATCCCTAGGTACCGGAGAAACTGAATTTCACCCACTCCAGTAGGGCAGCTTGGAACCTCCTGAGACGGAACCAACCATGTGGCCCTCCGCTCCATGAGCCTTGTCGCATTTCGCCAAACAACATCGCGACCCATCTCCTCAAGACCTCCAACTCCGGCTGCACATCTCGCACCGTGGCCAGGGAGACGCGCAAGGAGCTATCGTACTGGAGACGCACTTGCACCACCCCCTCGGCTCTGGCCGGGATGGTCTCCCTGGATGAGATAACGAAGGCTCTTAGGAA